AAGGAAGGAAGGAAGGAAGGAAGGAAGGAAGGAAGGAAGGAAGGAAGGAAGGAAGGAAGGAAATATTTGATTAGTATTATCAAAATTGTGGATGGGAAAAACAAACATGTTATTTGATCTTGTAGACAGACATCCAATCTTGCAACCCTGTCTTGTGTTGACCATACTTGTCTAAAATTAGAATCCCTTGACACGAGTTAGAATCTAGTCCAATTAAAATAATCTAGGAAACAATTTTGTTGAAAAATGAGTACGAATATTTCAGAAAAGCTCATTCTAAGTTTTAGTTTGGAATTTGGCATTGTCTGATTGTTCATTGCCCCTGAGGTGCTCCTAAACATGAGAAACTTTATTTTATAATAAAGTTGTTATTCCTTAAACTACCATAGAATTCTTCACTACAAGGCAATTTCCAACAGGTTGACATAGATAATGCTCTGACAGTTATAATCAAATTATATCTGAAAGATTAATATTGTGGTTCTTTACAGTTTATAAAGTAACAAGTCCCACTGACCTCATGGAATAGGTCCATTCTTCCATTACAAATATAAGAAATTTGTACAGAAAAATGTAATACAATTTACATTTGCTTGCTGCTTTCATTTCATTGAGGTCACCTATTACTTTTTCATTGCCTAGCACCAAGACATATATTTGTAAAAAAAAAGAACAAAAATGCTTATCAGAAATCATTAAAAAGAAGCTATCTTAGTAGAATTATAGAAACATATATACAGAACAAGATTCTGTGTGCTGTTTTCTTAAAATGGAGGGCAAAGCAACAGAAAATCTTCAAGTAATCACATTATTATCCACAAATAAGTATGCAAAGACTGGTATATACTTTGAGACCACTGATGAGAATGTGGACGAACTGAAGGAAAAATAAACTTCAACACAGACTGAATATGCTCAAACTCTGAAATACAGTTTTGGCAGATAGAGTTAGTTAAAGCCATTGAAATAAGTTTGACTCCCGGTGACTCCTGTTAATTATTTGGACAAACGCTTGCCATGTTACAGCTCTTCCAAAGACATTTCCCAAATCTCTGTGATCTCATCCATCCATGTTATCATTCATCTTCCTCTTCTATTTCTCTCAAACTTGCCAAGATAGTAACTTTTTCTAGTGGCATCATCTGTCTATCTCCAATTGTTAATGTTTCAACTTCCAGTTTCGATCCCTGCTGTCATCATGACTTGGACATTTGATCCCAATCCTGCCACTCTTATCATAATTTCAGATATAAGTTAGACAATGAAGGGGACAGTGTGCATCTTTGTCTCACTCCCTTCCTGTTCTGACCACTCAATTTCTCCACATTCAGCTCATACACTAAATTGTTCGTTTAAAGTTTCTTCAGAAGAAGAATCACATGTTCTGGGGCACCCATTGATGTTAATCTGTTCCTTCCTGACCATGTAGATTTTGCCAGAATGTGGAACGTAACAATGGGAATATCATTAAATCTAATTCATCTGGTATTTGTCTCTCTGGGTATGGTTCTATTTTATTTTGTCAGCTATTAAGCAAAACTGACTGCATGAGGAATTGGTGCATTGATTGGTAATTTGCACTTTCTCTTGCATTTTGCTTTTTCAGTATATACACTGATATTCTCCCAATCTCAATGCCAGATAACCATATCTGGTTTCTTATTTGTCAACACAGCATTTAGCACTTCTACCCCTTTAATCTGTACCTGCTACCTTTGTATTTGACAGATATATACCTGACTTTCTATTCTTGAATATATTCTCTGCCTACAAATGTTTCTATCATTTTATAATCCCATTTACAATGAATGCTAGTACAGTTTTCCCAAGTTTTTAAAACTCATTTGCATCTATCAGGTCTCTTCCATGAATACTTCTTAGTATTTTTCAATTACCTGTAAATTTTCCTATGATTTTTCTGATCCCCTTAATAAAGTCTCTCATTTTCTTTTTCTTGTAATATGCCTAATGCCTAATCATAGACCTTCATGGTTTAGATATATTTCCTTGACATGACAGTCTGGATCCGGTCATCATATATCCTTTCTGTTGTCAAAGGCTTTCATCCTCCATCGTTCTCTGGCTGCCATGACAGATGTTCTGAAAGCCTCTTTGAAATTTTGGAAATTTGTTTATACCACTTCAATTTTCACAGTGATTTTTATCTGTTTCCATAGTTCCTCAGTTCAGCTTTTGTATAAATTAAGCACACAAAATCTGTTCTGCATGTTCATCTTATACTCTAAAGATATGTCCTCCAAGTTAAATCTTGCTGCTACACAATATTTTTTTAAGTATAACCCTTACATTTAACATCATTTATTCATGGTCTGTTCCACAATCTGTTCCTGGATGTATCCTAACTGACTGGATAACATTCCTTCATTTAGTTAAACAACATTTAAAGAAGAATAGAATATAGTGCAATAGGGGAACTTATTTGATCCTTAGCCCTTCCTTCCTTCCTTCGTTCCTTCCTTCCTTCCTTCCTTCCTTCCTTCCTTCCTCATTCCATTCCATTCCATTCCATTTTTATTAGTTTGAGAAAGTGATGACAGCATTGTTAGTGATGATCAAAGCATGATCATCATTTGAATGGAGTAAACTTTAGGCAAGGATACTAAATCTTAATATAATGTCT